GATGATGATGCTGATGATGATGATGATGCTGATGCTGATGATGATGATGATCATGATGATGATCATGATCATGATCATGATCATGATCATGATGCTGATGCTGATGCTGATGCTGATGCTGATGATGATGGTGATGATGATGATGATGATGATGATGATGATGATGATGATGATGATGATAAGGAGGAGAGGAGGCGGAGGAAGAGGAGGAGAAGGAGGAGTAGGAGGAGGATGGGGAGGAGGAGTAGGAGGAGGAGTAGGAGGAGAAGGACGAGGAGGAGGAGGCGGAGGAGGAAGAGGAGGAGGAGGAGGAGGAGGAGGAGGAGGAGGAGGACGACGACAGCGATTACGATAAACAGGAGGAGGAGGAGGCGTCGGAGGTTACGGTTACCGACTGCCCGAAGGACCTCCCACGTCCCCCTTATCATATTAACAATGTCAGATTGGATCTCAGCAGAGCTCTACCCCCGCGGTTCACCTCGCGGCAGCGCAAGCTAGTGAACGAGAGGGCCCAGGAGGAGGAGGAGGAGGAGGGGGAGGGGGAGGAGGAGGTCGAGGAAGGCAGATAACGAGGGGCAACAGGAAGGGCCAGGATGATGATGATGATGATGATGATGATGATGATGATGATGATGATGATGATGATGATGATGATGATGATGATGATGATGATGATGATGATGATGATGATGATGATGATGATGATGATGATGATGATGATGATGATGATGATGATGATGATGATGATGATGATGATGATGATGATGCTGATGATGATGCTGATGATGATGCTGATGCTGATGCTGATGCTGATGATGCTGATGCTGATGATGCTGATGCTGATGATGATGGTGATGGTGATGATGGTGATGGTGATGATGATGATGCTGATGAGGAGGATGAGGATGAGGATGAGGATGAGGATGATGATGAGGAATGATGATGATGATGATGATGATGATGATGATGATGATGATGAGGAGGAGGAGGAGGAGGAGGAGGAGGAGGAGGAGGAGGCCGACGAAGAGGACGGAGGAGGAGCAGTGGTTGGAGCAGGAGGAGGGGGAGGAGGAGGGAGGATGGAGGTGGGGCGAGGTCGCCGTCTCCGTCAACACCAAGCATGTGAACCCGCAGCACCTGTCGGAGTGCCGGCTGCCCCCGAACCTCTCGGCCACCACCTCGGCCGAGGAGGCGCCTGGCCGCAGACCGCCGCGCGTCGCGCGTCGTCGTCGCCGTCGCTGTCGCCGTCGACCGGCAACGTCGACCGTTTCCGGCAATCTTCGGCAAGCTGTCGGACGGCAACCCGCAAGCTTTCGGAGGCCTTCGGGGGCGGGGTCCAGCCAGGGGGGTGAGGGGCCCCCAAGGAGGCCTCCCCCACAGGAGCATGAATAACATCCAGAAGCCTTGAATGCCGAAGTTCGCCTCCTCCTCCTCCTCCTCCTCCTCCTCCTCCCGCCTCCCCCTCCTCCTCCTCCCGCCTCCCCCTCCTCCCCCTCCTCGCCATGCTCCCCACCCTCCCCCCTCCACCTCCTCCTCCCCCGGATCGACGGCGGTCCAAGCGCAAGTCAGATGGGTGCCAGCACGTCCCTCCAACAGTCTGCGCCGGGCCCCCAGGGACGGCCGTTGCTCGCAGCAGGCGGTGGCCGTCCCCCTCCTCCCCCCCTCCTCCACCTCCTCCTCCCCCCCTCCTCCTCCTCGTCCTCTTCCCTCCCCCTCCCCCTCCTCGTTCCTTCGCTCGTGGCCTTAGGGACGGAGTTTCGCTCGTGGCCTTAGGGACGGAGTCTGAGTCCCAGCCAAACTAGAGCAGAGCAGCGATGGGAAAACAAAGAGAGAGAGAGAGAGAGAGGCAGCGGTCGCGGCAGCGGCAGCGGCGCGTCCTCCACGTGCATCTCCAGGAGTCCCCATGGTACTCCGCGGTTTGTCGGGCGTCTTCGTCGATGCTCTGCGGTGTTCCAGCCTCGCAGCGGCTGTGCCTCGCCGAGGGCGTTCCAGAGGTGCCCGGATCATGGCCCCCAAACCGACGTGCTCGCGTCGTGCAAAACACGCGACCGGAGGACGGCTTTCGGGGGACCCCTCGCGTCAAAACACGACCCGGGAAGAAAAGCTGGCCCCGGGGAAGGGGTCGAGATTTACGGGGACCGTGCATGGAAGAAAATCACGGCATCGCATTTCTGGGGACGAGCGCCGGTCCTCCCCTCTCGCGCGAAGAACGCCTGAGGCGGCGCTGGCATTGGGCCCCAGCGCGGACTCAAGAATTTTGTGTTGAACTTGGAAAGCATGATTATGCTGATGGTTTCTGAGTTTTGGAAGGTCGCCTCCCTCCCCCCCCCCTCGAACCTGGAACCTGCCTGTCGGGGCCCCTGGGGTGCCTCTCGGGCTGTTCTTTGGATTCCCCTGGGGCGTCTTCGAGGCCTCTTGGGCTGTCGCGAGGCCATCTTGGAGCGTCCTGGGGCGTTTTGGCCACGTCTCTAGGTCCTCCTGGACAGTTTTGGCGGCCTCT